AGGAGACTTAATGCAGCAGAGAATATCGACAGCCCCGGCAGAGGAGGGGGCCTCAAGGCCCCTCGCAGGACCCAGCAATCAGCTGGGAAGGGGCCCTCTCCGCCCTGGGGGGTTTCCGAGGCCTTTGTGGCGGAGACAGTGCTGGGAAACAGTTCAGAGATGCGCACGCCACGTTTGGCACAAGGACTGCACTGCTTCTTCCTTTTAATGGGGAGTGCATTTTGGCTCTGGTACTCAGGAGACTGTCCCTGGAGGGGGACCGCTTGGGCAGGCCGGGCTTGGTGCTTTCGCTGAGCATTATGCTCAGATTGACCAGTGGTCGACTGAAGGGCTTTGGCCTCTAAAGCAGCAAGGGTTCTCCATAGATCAGGATGGGTCACAGTGTTATTCGCCTGTCTGTAGCAACAGAAAAGAGCCAGAGTCCAGAAGCACCTTAAATACTAATACAGTTTGTGGCAGGGGTTGAGCTTTCGTGAGTCACTGCTAACGCCTTCAGATCTGTCTTCAGGGTTGTCCAGAGACTGCTAAGCTTCCATCTTGAACGTAGATGTGGTGACAACAGTACCCCTTCCCTTCATCGACCAACTGAGCCTCTGCTGGTTGGGACCAGTGTTCCGTCTAAGCTGAGTTAGTGTGAGCTGGCTCGCACTTTTTTAGCCTCCGGCTCACACATTTTTGCCTTAGCTCAGGAAGGATGGCTCCAGGGCAAACCTAATGGCAGTAGCTCACAAAGTTTAATTTTTGCTCACAAGACTCTGCAGCTTAGAGGGAGCATTGGTTGGGACCAATGTTCCCTCTAAGCTGTGGAGTCCTGTGAGCTGAAATTCTACTTTGTGAGCTACTGGCATTAAAGTTGTGAGCAGGTAGTTTGGCTGCTGCATAAAATTACTTTGCTCTGGAGCCATCTTTCCTGAGCTAAGACAAAAATGTGTGAGCTGGAGGCTAAAAAACTGTGAGCTAGCTCACACTAACTCAGCTTAGAGGGAACACTGGTTGGGACCAGGGGTCATTTCCTGCGGGAGCTCACAGGAGCAGAGCCTGGCCCAGGGGGTGGGCACATGCAACAAGCCCTGCTCCCAGCAGCCCTGGGCCACGAGGAGCAAGAAGCAGCCCGGCCACCTGCCTTTCCTGGCACCTGGCTGGTGCGAGGTGGTGGTGGCGGCGAGGGCTTGATTGGGGTGGGTTGGCCATGGGGGGTGGTAGGGCCTTGATGTGGGAGTGGCAGGGGCTTGATCGGGGAGATGGGAGAGCCTCCCTCCCTCCCCATCTGTTTGCCCTCTTTCTTTCTTTCTCTCCTCCTTTCCTTCTCTTTCAGTCCTTTTTTCCTTCTCTTTATTTCTTTCCCTCCGTCTTTCCTTCTCTCTCTCTTTCAGTCCTTTTTCCTTCTCTCTCTCTTTCTCTTCTTTCTTTCCTTCCTTCTCTTTCTTTCCCACTTTCCCTCCTTTTTCCTTCTCTTTCTTTCCCTCCTTCCTTCCTTCCTTTCTGCACAGATCTGTGCATCCCCCCCCCAATAGCTGGCGATCCAAAACAGTCCAGTGAAGCCTGAGTGGTGGGTGTTGCCTACTGACACACTTCTGGTGATGTCAGGGGGTGTGGCATATGCAAATGAGTGATGCTAATGAGCTCCTGCACCTCTTTTTTCTGCAAAATGACCCCTGTCTCATGACACTGGGGCAAGTCTAAACTGCCAATTCCCTGTGGCCATCCACCTTCCCTTCATAGAAGCAGGACATCAGTGGAAGATCCTGATATTTGTGACTTCTGTCCAGCAGTCTCAGACTAAGCCCTGGCTGCCGGGTCCTCCAATACCCCTTCCACAAAGAGATCACCCAGTTCTGTCAGATCATCTGTTCCTGCCGACTCCAGGTCCGTCAAATCAGAGGGGCAAAACAAGTTTCCCTTTGGAATATCTTTCCCGCTGCACATTCCTGTGGGTTCTCTGTCTCAGCAAGCCGGCCCGCGGTCCTTAGAATGCTCTCCCCCAGAGACGAGACGACCCCCTCTGCTGGGAAGCACCAAAGCAAGGAATGAGATGCTGCTGGAAGCAAGAACTTTATATACCATGACAGCAAACTGCCTTAGCTTCTCTCTCTGCAGGGGGATGGTGGAACGGAAGACAATATCCTTGGCAACAACTCCAGCAGGGTTCCCGGGCAGCGGTCGCTTCGGCTGGCCCTGGGAATGTTTGTTTGCTGTCAGCTTCTGAGAGATCGGCTTATCCAGTGGGCTTTCCTCTCTGGGGGGAGGATTATGGCATCTCTCTAAATGTAGCTCCGGGCAGTGACTGGCAGTTCATACCGGAGGAGGAAGAGGAGACACACACTGGCGTCTTCTGAAACGCTGAACTCCTAAGGGGATTAGTTCCCTAAAGTCTGTCTGGTGCTAATCTTTTAAATGTATTAACTAGAAACAGATGAGCACCTGGTGATATTTCCTCCTCTCCCCGACTCCCACACACACATGGGACCTCTGCAGTGGCCAGTGGCCGAGCCCTCATTGAAGATGTCGGCAAATGCATCATGGGAAGAGTATTTCAAATTCTTAAATACCAGCAGATATCGTTCAGCCAGTTTGGTGTAGTGGTTGAGTGCGCGGACTCCAATCTGGGAGAACCGGGTTTGATTCCCCACTCCTCCACCTGCACCTGCTGATGTGACCTTGGGTCAGTCACAAGCTCTGGCACAGCTGTCCTTGAAAAAGAGCAGTTTCTGTCAAGAGCTCTCTCAGCCCCACCCACCTCCCAGGGTGTCTGTTGTGGGGAGGGGGAGGGAAAGGCATTTGTCAGCCGCTCTGAGACTCCAAGTGAAGGGCGGGGTATAAATCCAATCTCCTCTTCTTCTTCTTACCTGGGACTTGTGTCGTCCTCCAAGTGGAGATTCTGCACCTTCATAACAATGAGACTAGACCTCTCTCCACATAATCTTGCATCACTAGAGCCGCAGTAGGCATAAGAACACGAGAAGAGCCCTGCTGGATCAGACCAGGGGTCCATCTAGTCCAGCATCGTCTTTCACACAGTGGCCAACCAGTTGCCCTGGAAGATCCCAGAGGGCCAACAAACAAGACATGGGCCTTCCCTGGATGATGTTTCCCCCAGTACTAGTATTCAGAGGTTAACTGCCTGTGGATGTGGGAGTTTTCTTTGGTCACCGTGGCCAGTAACCATTTATGGACACCATGGCTAGTAACCATTTATGGAGAGCCAGTTTGGTGCAGTGGTTAAGTGCGCGGACTCTAATCTGGGAGAACCGGGTTTGATTCCCCACTCCTCCACTTGCACCTGGCTGGATAACCTTGGGGAAGCCATAGTTCTGACAAGAGCTGTTCTTGAAAAAAGAGCAGTTTCTGTCAGAGCTTTCTCAGCCCCGCCTACCTTCCAGGGTGTCTGTTGTTGGGAGGGGGAGGGAAAGGAGGTTGTAAGCCGCTCTGAGATTCCCTTGGGTAGTGACGGGCGGGGTATAAATCCAATCTCTTCTTCTTCTTCCATGAATCTGCTTAATTCCCTTTTAAACCCTTCTGTGCTCATGGCTGTCACTCAATGCTCCCTCTAAGCTGCGGAGTCGTGTGAGCAAAAATCCTACTCTGTGAGCTACGAGAATTAAAGTTGTGAGTGAGCCATTTGGCTCCTGCATAAATTAGTCTGCTCTGGAGCCCTCCTTCCTGAGCCGGAAAAATGTGTGAGCCGGAGACGGAAAAAACTGTGAGCTAGCTCACACTTAACTCAGCTTAGAGGGAACACTGCCATCACTACATCTGCTGGCAGGGAATTCTGGTTTAATTATTTATTTAGTGAAGAGGCACATCCTTTCGTCTGTCCTGAATCTCTTGCCTGTTAACTTCATGAGGGCCCCTGAGCCCGTTCCGTGGTTTACGCTGACTGCCAGCTGCCCTTCAGGCTCTCAGGCAGGGAAGGGTCTTTCCTGGCACCTGCTCTGGAGCGGACAGGGATCGAATCTGGGACCTTCACTTCTTTTATGTGCACCTGTATCACTGAGCGATGGCCCTTCCCCAAGGTGTGTCTACCCAAGACTGGCAGCACCTTTCCACAGTCTCTGGCAGATACTTTTTTTTCTTTTATCCTGGAAACTGAACCCGGAACCTTCTGCGTGTTCTTCCACTAGCCACAGTTCTGTGCCTAAATGGTCCAAAGGACTTTGGTTCAAGACTCACCGGCAGTCTTGAAGCGGCGGCTGGACAAACCCTCGTCAGGGGTGCTGTAGGCTGATCCTGCATTAAGCAGGGGGTTGGGCTAGAAGACCTGTACGGTCCCTTCCAACTCTGTGGTTCTATGATTCGGGGCTTGCTCAGAGCTCGGCAGGGAGGGTGGGATATACAAATCAAATCAATCAATAAATAAAAAGAAACAGGATGTGGTCCTCAGTAGAGATGTAACACTTCCAGAAATTTTGAAGCTCGGAAAAAAACCCGTTTTTCCCCCCGGTTTTTTTTGGGGGGGAAACGGAAATTTTTGGAAAAATTGAAAAAAATGCTACATTAGCATTTCTTTTGTCTTTTCTAGTTTGAAAGTCATTCTGTTACTTTAGGAACATGAAATATGACTATGGACATTTTTACTTGGCATGAAATTATCACAACTAGCATATTAAAAATATAGTGTATCCAAACAATTATTACAGAATACCCACCCACATGCAAAAACAAAACTGAAACTTTTTTATTTTCTTCTGACAATCGCACCTCCTAAAGGAAGA